TTGTACCCCAAAAAAATAAGACAACTGTTTCCAGACCAAGATAAAGGAGATGCTTACCCTCTGCTCTCACATTTCAATCTCTCTTGCCGGCAGCCGGCAGTTCGTTTTGGGTTCCCGTGGCCATTGATAAATATGCCAAATCATCGGGCACGTCTCTAGACTCCTGATCAGATCTCCGGGACACGTGCAACATCTACACAGCCTCCCTAAAAAAAAAAGGAGGAGAAAATTAAGCAAGAAGCTGGAGATTGAAGAGAACAAAAAGAGCTTGTTGGGGGAGGAAAAGTTTTTCCATTCACTTGTTCGTTTTGTTTGCCGAGTTATTCTGTCAAAATTTATTTAAATATTCTGCCGAATTTCCCAGAACACTTTCTTCTTCGGCCCTTGATAAAGTTCTCAACCCAAGAAAAAACGTTAACGTTTCGCGTTAAATAATTTCCCCAACAGTCATTAAGTGCAACAAAAAACACTCCTTTTTCTACCCTTCTCCGCCCCTAAATCTCCCCTTGGCTCTCCTCCCTTTTTTTGGCAGCGACAAATGGCAGCAAATTATGATGCTGCTTCCGTGGGGAAAGTCCTGCCCAATTTCAACCCTTACCCCATCAAGCGTAAACTCTTCTCCGCTTTCCCTCAATTTTTCTTCTTTTTTTTTTCAACAACTTTTCTTACTGCCAACAATTAATTGAAATTAACATATTTTTCTTCTTTTATTTGAGACAACTTATCAGGCCCCAAGCCCGCCCCCTTCCCTTTGTTCAAGTTAATTTTCAACGAGTTTTCCTTCCCGAAAAAAAAAAAAAAATTCAAAATTCAAATTCCGCGGATTAATTTTCAGCGTCTGTTAAGAAAGAAACGGAAGTAAGCCATTCGGACCAATTAAATCCTGGCCGAAAGTTTGTAAATTGATTTTCCACGTAATGCCCAAAGCTTTGAATTTCCTGCATAATTTTCTAGTTGAAGCAGGTGAACAACTTTTGCATTACTCGCAGTTCTGGAAAAACTTGAAGCCCGTTTAACCAAAAGTAAAGGGGAATTTTTAAATGGAATTTCAAAGGGAAACGGAAATGGTAAAAATTAAAGAAGTAATTTAAATTATGAAAAGGAAATGTTTTTTATATTTTTAAAATTTTATTAATAAAAATAATAAACAAAATAAATATTAATTTAATCGTTGCAACTAAATTTCATAACAAATTTCCGTTTAAGCTGAAGGGAAATACATTTTTGATATATTTTCTTGAAACGCTTTCATTTTTGTGGCACCTTTAATGGGCCTAAGGACTAAAAGCAAGGACGGCGTAGGTATTGGAGGCCATAAGGGATTCCGTGGAGTTCTTGGAATGAGAATGAGCCCGGGGAGATGGGAATGGAAGCTGCACAGGGTTTGTTCTCACAGACACATAATAAGGGCATTCCTCATACGCCACCGATTCCCTAGATGCTGTTGTTAGTATATACCCTGCCACACAGGGTATTATAAATATTACAAGTATTTATTTTTAAAAGATATAGTCTTTATAGATCTTAAATCAATATATTATTTACTTATTTTGCTGTGAGGATTTGTTTTTAAAAATAAATATATATACCCAACCACATAGCTTATTATAACTATTTTTGGTATATATTTTTAAATATATTTTATAAAATATTTACAAATATTTTCCTTAGAATCTCTAAGGTTTTATAATTAAAAATAAATATAAATACCTTCTAGCTTACAATATTTTCGAAATTGAAGGGTATTTGGCTATCAGGCCTTGCTTATTCATTTTTTTATTGTTGCTACTCCCCTCGTTGCTGGCTTTATGAAAAATTATACAAAACTTTTTACTTAGTGGAACGCGGGCTCTGAACAATTACGAGGCCATCAGGGAAGTAGCTGGTGCAAAAATAGAAGGGGGAGGTCAAGTCCCGAGTCAAGGGGTCCTCGGCAAATAAATAATGTGTGTTTGGTGTGTTTTTGTTGTGTGTGTGTTTGATTTGGCCCCTTAAACGATGCGGAAAGTTAAAGTTGAAAATAAGAAGGAAGAGAAAATGGAAATTGGCCTTGTTCAAATGCTGGCTTATCGTCGCAATCTGTCAGCTTTTCACTAATTACCAACAATGTTCAAGATTTATGGGATTTTTTTTACTTGGCGGAAGTTTACTTAATTACTTATTACCGACCAAGCATAAATCAAAGTTTAACATTTACAAAAGCTGCGATTTTGCAAGGCAGAAATATTTTAAATATTGAAATTAATTAGTTAAATTGATTAACTTATTTAAGTTAAATCTTTTTAATAATTAATGTAGCTATAAATATTTTAAATACATATATTTGTATATAATTTATTTTGAAAGAGTTCGACTTTGGCATAATTTATTGTTAAAATAATTAATTAAAATATTTTTTAAATGATAAAAAGAAACAACTTTATAAAGATATATTTATTTATTAATTATTTCTATTCTTTAAATATTTTTTATATATTTTACTTCCCCCTAAAATCCCTGAAATTATTTACAATTTATTTAACATTTTTTGTTTATTTATATAAAAAAATATAAACAACTCTCTCAGTTTTTTGTTTTCTTTTCCACACTCAGCTGGAAAGTAGGCCACACTTGTTGGTTATTTTTTACGGGAAAATGGGAAAAACTGAATTAAATAATCTTAGCCCAAAAGAGGGTCATGCATTTTGCATTTGCATGCCGCCCCTTAATGAAATCTTTATTTGTTTTTAATTTTTATTCTGCTGTTTTCGGTCAGGAAAGTGAAACCGGAACCGGTAACGGAACCTCAACCTTTACGAAATAATTACGCACTTGGGAAATTCCCTTTTTCCCGGTAGGAAAGGGAAGCGGAGCCATTCCAAGCCATCACCTTGTGCCTCGCCAACCTGCCAAGGGGAACTTTTGGCATTTCTATGGAATTCAATTTCAAAGCTATATCATTTTCATTTAATTTCACGCTTTCAATTTGCGACCCACACAAACAGAGCGCTTTGTCCAGCCGCATCCCTTTTTTTTTTTATTTTTTGTTGGTGCCACCGTGGCCGACCTCCTTTTTCCACGCCAAAAGGTATGCCATATAATGGATTTCTGCTCTTGTTTTCCATCGGCCACCTATTGTCTGTAAAACGAAACCCGTCGGTGATTCCCCCGCCCCCGCCCGACCCCGGGAATCAAACCGTTCCCACTGCGAACCGCATCGCTCGTCAATTTAGCACTTTCAACTGCACACACGTGCCTCCGTCCCTCCTCCGTTTCGGTGTCGGTCTCGGTGTGTGTTTTTCGAATGGATTGAAAGGGAATAGTACACTTATCACAATATTTTATATATTTTTAAGAAAAATCTAACTAAAAACTAAGAAATTTGTTTTACAATTGGGAAAGGGTGTCATGAATTTAAGGCAAGGCACCAATTTTAATTTAATTTTTATATTTTTTTATGTTTACTTTTTCGATTTTTCTCGAAATTTGAAATGTGTGCCAAACAGTTTTTCTTTCTGAATTTAGAAGACATTTTTCTTAAATCAAAAAAAATTTGTATGAGTGTAGAAAAAACATAACAAAAAGTAGAACAACTTTACAAAAATAAAAACAAAGCTGAATGGCAAACGAGAGAGAGTATCCATGACCTGGTGAAAGAACTAGATCGAGACAGCGAATGGGGTTTGCTTTCTCCGAAAAAATAGTAATATTAATAATTATAAATAAATATATATAGATATTTATTTATATATTAATATTTATGGAAATAATAGAGCATTTTTCAGTATCTATTATATTTTAATAAATATTTTTATAACTCACATCTTGTATCTTATGAATACTGGCTTTATCTTTTATAAGTTTTCAGTATCTTAAACCTAAAAGACCTTACACAAGAGAAGCTATATAATATTTATGATAATTATAACCACTTTCTATAATTTTTAAATAACGTCTCTGTCTTATACTCATAGAATTATCAAAAATATATGGCCTAGTAATTTGTAAAATTTTATATTTCTATAAATACTAATAAAGCCTAAATTTCCCACCAGTTGAGACTAATTATTCGCTTAAACTTCCACTATTTACACTGCCCAGCAAAACTCTCAATAGTTCTGGTACTTTCCCTTATTTTCTTTCGCCCCATCGAGCTGCCAAAAATTTTTCAAAAAAGAAAGAAAAAAAGTAAAGCCTTCACATACAAACATTTTTAGTGTGTAGATGCCGAGGGCAATAAAAGGATTTTTCAATTTACGAATTTCCTTCGGTTTGCCGGCTTGCTGTGTGTGTGTGTGTGTGCGTTTGAGACTTTCACGAAATTGGTCAGCAAAAATGTTGTTTGGCGTGTAAATTGAGCAGTTTTTTTGCTGCCCGCTTCGCCATTGTTTGTTCGTTTTATGCCGCGAAGAGAAAAGTGCGGAAAATGCTTTTTAATCATTAAACTAACGTAATCAATTCTCCCATTTCTCTCTCTCTCTCTCTCTTCCCCGCTGGCCCTTTGTAAATTGCAATTCACAGTGAGAAACTTTTGATTAATTAAAAGTAAAACAAAACGCGGAAAAACAAAGCCAAGAACAACAACAAAAACAACTGGCGCCCAACAACAAGTAAACCTTGCCAGGAAAACGACAACAACGACACTCGCGTAAAGTTGTCCCCCTTTAAACAATTTTCTCCTCCAGGAAAATAAAAATAGAATACCAAAAAAATACCTAAAAAATATAAACAAAAATCAAATAAACGACAAAAAATAAACAAAAAACAGAAAATAAAAAACAAATAACAAGGAACAAGAACTCTTGGCCAGAAAATCAACATCGAAATGGAATTGGGCATCAGAATTGTCAATCAGCATTTAGCCAGAATCAACAACAACAGCAGCAGGAACTACTACAACAACAGAAACCAGCACTTCAATCAATATAACTACAACAAGAATATCAACAACAACAACTTCAACAGCAGCAGCTCTCACACCAACAACAATACAAATCGAATCAACAACGACGAAGACAACAACAACAATCCCAACAAAACAACGATATTAACATCAACAACACACCCTGTCACAACAAGAGCTCCAACTACAACAACAGCAACTAGTGGCTGCCCAACAGCTGCTTTAATAACTGCATTCAACAGCATTGCAGCCATATTGGTATTAGCAACTGAAAATGGAACAGCAAAAACTGTCCACCGATCAGCTGCCAGCAGCCTCGGGTTCAACAACGCCTGCAACAACAACAGCAGCAGCAGCAGCAGCAGCAACAGCCACCCGCTCAAGCTCAACAACAACTACTACTAAGTCGAACAACAACAGCCCGGCCAGATCAACGTTTACCAACAATTTTAACCAACAACTGCAGGCAACCACAGCAGCCACCATGCAGCGTCTACGCACGACATTTACGCGATCGCGAACGCCAACAGGTGCCGAGATGAAGATGCAGAATAGCCTGGAGGTTCCCAAACAGGTAAAAAAGGTGGATCGATAATTTTTTTGATAATTCCAATGTTTCGATTGTTCTTGTCTCGATTGTTGCAACACATTGTTTCGTGTTGGTGTACTTTTATACCTATATAATTAGTTTTAATTGTATATGTTTTCATTGACTTTTTTTGTTATCGATAACGATTTTTTGTTGTTTGCATGTTTGGATAAACTTAAATCGTTTTGCTTTCCGTTCTCATATCCTACGAGTAAACCCAACTTAGATTCCACCCCTTCACCAACGGTAACTTCAATTTCTTTTGCACTATTCCTAAACTCGATATCCTTGCCATATCGATAAATTCGATAAGTGATCTTGGACTTGTTTGTTGTGTTCAGCATGTGTTGTTTTCGCTTTTGTTTTCGTTGGCTCGTTTCGTTTATGTGACTAGCAGCAGGAACCCATTTCTCGGACCCTTTTGTGACCAATCCCCTTCGCCTCATGTTATTGCAGGTCCGCTCCGCCTCCTTCGACGAGATGCAACTGGAGGCACAGCGTGCCTCCTCGAGCCTGCTCAAGCAGCAGTCCTCCTCCTCGGCCTCGGCGGACGAGCGATCCTCGGAGGCGGGACTGCTCCAGGTGCCGTTGGCGGCCCATCAGCAACGATCTCATAGCTTCGACTCGGCGGCGGTGTCCGCGGGTAGCGATGATTCTGGCACCTTTTTGGAGGTGCCGCGTCGCCTAAAGACTCGCCGCAGTTCGTCCACCAAGACGCCGCCACCCTGCATCCATTGTCACTATCTGGAGGAGTATGAACGCCGAATGACGGCCGAGCAGCGCTACTTTATCGATCACCGGGAGCTGAGTGCCTTGAGCAACACCAGCTCGGAGGGGAGCGAGGATGAGGACAACGACGACGACAATGATGATGATGGCGGCGGTGATGACGATGATGAGGAGGGCAGTGCTGCCACAGAGGCCACCGAGGGTGAGACCACGGAAACGGCACCCGAGGAGGTGGAGGAGGAGCCGCGCACTGAAGTGGAATCGGAGCACGATCACGATCCGGACGATGATGCCGCCATGGAAATGGATATACGAATTGGCAACATGAGCCTGGGCAGCAGCATCGAGGAGTCTCGGACTCATATTCCTCGCCAAATGCGACGCCATACCATCGGCAGCAGCGGCCATACCACCATGACTTCGGAGGATGAGGGCCTTGAAGGATCGGATAATGGATCTCCGCATTTTGGCAACACCCTGCTGCCCCCTCAGCCGACCACGCCCTGCGGCATCACCTTCACACTGAGTCCAACCAATGGAGATTATCCGTCGTCGCCGCCAATTCTACCCATTGAGCCACCATCGCCGCCCATGTCGCCATGCTCGACGGCGGTACGACTGCCGCCCACGATGATAACACCACCCACGATCTCCTCGCCCTGTGCATCGGCGGATGCCGATGATGCTGGCGCTGCCATGGGTCTGCCGGTCCGAGCCAGACGTCGTTCGATTTCGCGACAGGAGGCCATATTTGTGGAGCCCACGGGCAACTCCTTGGAGAATGTCTCTCACGAGGAGGTGGACAACAACAACAAGTCATCGGTGGACACTGCGGACTCTCTAGAGGAAGCCTCGACCATGGCCACCTGTGGCTCACCAACAGCAGCCGGAGGAGCTGGTGCATCGAGCAGTCACCACAATGCTTTTGTGGTAAGAGACATCTATCTGATGGTGCCGGATCTCAAAAGAGATCGTGCCGCCTCCGTGGACTCGTGCTTTTCGAAGCTCTCCTCGGGACCCAAGGCCGAGGAGCTGCAGCCGAGTGCCGATGGGTGTTTCCTCACAGTACCAAATATCAATGCCACCCGATCCAGATCGGTAGATATAGTGCTGCCAACCGATGAGCAGGCGAGGTACAAGGCTTTGTCCATGACAGGATCCACAGCAACCTATGCCGATGGGTATGTATATGGGGAGAGGGATTATTTTAAGACTTTTCCTTGATTCTTTTCAAATAATTTCTACTTGAAAGGACTTTGTTTTCGATTTACTTAAATTCTTTATACATTTTTCTCGTATTTATATATTTATTTATATATATTTCGACCTGTTCCCAACTCAATCTTTGGGTCAAAAAAACAAAAAAAGGGAACTGCAACCCTATATTCAAAACCCACTTTATTGTTTACTTTCGCCTTCGTTTTGCTTTGCCTTGGATTTAAGACCCACTCGGTTGGTGGCTATTTTTGGACCGACAAAACTTTTAAATTGACTCATTAAAACGAGCTTTACACGTGGCCCCAGTTAGGATTTTGGGATCAGCCAAGGTACATCTCATTCTCCACGTGCATAAACCTGGCCCCATAATTGCGGCTAAACTCTTTGCTCTCCCCGCCTCCCGCCGCCCGACTCCCAACTCTTTCTCTCTGTGCCTACTTGACCTTCGCCTGGGTCGAGATTTTTGGGCAGGAGCCGAGTCCTGGCCATCGTCCGTGTCCGTGTGTAACACGTGGGCCACTCGCCACTCGAATTACAGGGCGACATGTGAGCCACAAAGAGTGTTCCGTGTGCCATGTCCGTTTGTGTCCTCCGTTGGTGATCCAACTCCCGCCGACTTAAGCCTAATTAGAAACGAAATCTCCAACGCTCCTGCCTGTGGGCCATTCATAATTCCCGCCAAGTTGGCCCAGAGCGGACACTGGCTAAAAACGCGCCTTATGCCAACCCTTGGCATGAATAAATTATGCCCAGCAGCTCGTGGTTTTCTCAACAGGAAAAAAAACAACAAAAAATCGGAAGCGGAGACTTTAAATACCCTTTAACAAAAAATAAAAATTGGGATTTTAAATACATTTAAAAATAAGAATATGTACGTTCTTAAAAACCTTTGAAAAAAGAACTGAGTTTTTAAAAATTCTTAAAAAATAATGAGACTTTAAATACCTTTTAAAAAATATAAAGAAATTCTGAAAAGTCTTTTAGGTTAAACATTTAGCACTAGAACAAATTTTATAATAATAATTATTTTAAAAATAAAAATTATATAATAATAATTATTTTTAAACTAGAAACAAATGGGTTTTGGGACTATTCAGGCCTAAATCTAATACCCTTCTATATAAATTTTATAAATCTTTTATTTTTACAATTTAAATACTTTAAATACCCTTAAAAAATATTTATACAAATTGTTTTGGGCAGTGTTTGTTTGCTTAGCAAACCGATTTCCTTGAATTACAACAAAAGCTGCTCATAAATAATATTCAAACAAAGTGTCCCGTGTCCGTTGACCGCTGTCCGTTAACCGCTGTCCGCTGTCCGCGTATCCCATTGCCTGGACATTGACAAGAAGGTTGCGTGCCGAAAGCCCAACCCCCCAAGGGCTAGGTGTGAGGGTGACGAACCACTTGCGGCCAATTTGTTACGCTGCACCACCGCGTAGGATCGGCCCCACTCCGAGAACCCAGTCGGAGTCAGAGTTGGAGTTGGAGGACTGATATGGATATGGATAATTCAGAACTTTCCTCTGATGGATTAAAGAGATTAGGCACCGTGCCGTGCTCGTGTGTGCTTACCCGTGGCGAGAACTTGCCCAGAAACTCGACTCGGTTCCATGGAAAATTAATTAGCTTAGTGCGGGGTTTATCAATGGTAACCGGAATGGAGCCGAGGCCCCTGGGAGGAGATATTTATTCATTTAACGGGAAAGTTATACACATAACTGGGGGGGAAAGAAAATTGTTTCGAAATGAAAAGGGAAATCAAAGTGAAGCAAACAAATTATATAGTTATTATTGAAAAAAAGGGAATATTATATGTTTTAAAGGTTTTACAGTCCCTAGTTTGATATTATTTTATGAAATTAAGGGATTTTTTATTGTTTATATGGCATATTAATATAATAAATGTGTTATTTATTATATTAAATATTATTATGTGTTTTTTTATACAAGATTTTTGTATATTAATATTAAATACATTTTTTTTTTAAGATTTTCCAGTGCTCAATTTGGTATAATTTTAAAATTTTAAGGGTTTCTGTTGTTGTTTATATAAAATTTTTTAATTGAATAAACATGTTATATATTATATTAAATATTATTTGATATTTTATGACACCTAATTTTATATATTTATTATTTTATAATAATTTATAAAAGATTTTTTTTAATATTAATATTTAATTAAAACAACTAATTCTTGACTTCGTTTTTTCTACTTTCAGGTATGTACAAAATGCTTAACCTTTGACCTTATCCCCCAAGACCGCTCTCTGAGATAAGTACTGAAAATGAAAATGAATTAATATTAAAATTTGTTGGCTTTATGCGGGTATATCTCTGCTTTTTTAATTTCCGATTCATGTTGTTCCAATTTATGGTCATTTATTGTGCCGAACATGCCCATTAAAGTCTTCACCTCTCTCTCTCTCTCTATCTTTCTATATATATCGGTTTGAGTCCCGCCATTAGTCGTTCCCCGGGGGCTATATATATACATATATATTCCAGTTGGACACAGGGGATATATAATATGTTATGCTTGAACGGGGAGAGACCATCATAAAGTTGGATTTGTTGATTTACGATACCGGAGCGTGACACGTTATTATCTTCTCTGACTGAGAATTAAGTATTGACCGCACTGACAACTGATATGTTTAATTTGCTCACCCAAATACCCACCTCCCCCTGATCTCTTCCCTGGTTTCCCCCCATAAAAATGGAAAATATTATAAAATCACTCAATCATGCGACGCATGCCGGACACTGCAGTCATTCATTCTGACTTTCGGATGTGGTCTACACTCCAATCTAGACTTCTTCAACTTTGTGGCTTTCATTCATTTCAGTGCACTGGGAAAAATGGGTTAATTATTTTAAATTAAAATAATAAATATATAAAAACAAGTAAATTTATAATTATTTAAATGATTTCATTTTTTATGATAATTTTTAACCTCTATTTTGCAATTTTTATTTCAAAAATCTGTTTAAAAAAATTCTGTTCTTAATAATTTTTTTTATTTTCGTGCTTCTTATCCAATTGATATCAAAATCATAATATACATACTTTCCTTAATAATTTTAAATATTAAAAAATATATATATAATCCATTTTCTGCCACAAAATTTCTCCCAGTGCATCCGTGCCATCCTTCCATTTGGGGGTCCTTTCTTTGGTTTCTCTCGCTGTCTGTCCCCGAGGCGTGTGCGGTTCATTCATGCGACTTTGGGTCCTCAGGCATTCCGCCGGATTCCCTCCCCGTTCCCCAATCCCCCTCCCTCCCATTTCTTCTACCCACAATAACAACAACAACAACAACCAAAACAACCCCGACAACAATAACAATAACACGAGAGGCAGAAAGCAGCCATCGAACAAGAAGAAACAAAAAGTTAACTTAACTTTTATGATAATGGGGCAAATAATTTTATGAAAATACTCCCCCGAGGGGCACTATATATACATATGTATATATATATATATCCTTATGACGGGAGGGCGGCTGGGGTTTCCCTAACTTTTCCATACATGAAATTAGCATACAGAGCTCGGGGGATACGCGATTGTGTTTCCAATTTGCCCTATTCTCTGATTGAGCTAACTGTTTTACTTTCTTTTTGTTTTCGTTTTTACATGGCGGGAATTCCCTAATATTAAGAGGCTACATTGTGTGGGTGGCAGTGAGTTTTGAGGTGGAATATTAGGACAGGTAATAGGAAAAGGTGAAGGAAATCATTGAATGAAATGGAAATCAATTGAGTATATTAAAATATATGCTTATATTAAAATATCAAAAATATTAAGTATATAATATATGCTTATATTATAATATAAAAAATAAAATATATGCTTATATTAAAATATAAAAAATATTTTTATATTAAAATATAAAATATATTCTTATATTAAAATATAAAATATCTTATCTTATTTTAAGATATTAAAAATTTAAAATATAAAATATATGCTTATACTAAAATATAAAAAATATTAAATATATAATATATGCTTATATGCTTGTTTTAAAGTATAAAAAGGTTCTTTTGGACTTTTTCTGTTAAATGTGATATATATTTCTATCAAATATATATTTTATATATAATTTTCATATTGTTCCAATTTTTTAAAATACTTTTTATATCTCAATCCTTCTACTTCTACTCCTCTTTTCCCTCTCTTCATTCAAAAACTCCCCCCAAAAAATAAGAGAAAAATCTTTAAAATAATACAATAAAATTCTCAGTCCAAAAACAAGTTGGATATAGATGATGATAAATGAATTGCTGCCGTCTGTCTTCAGTTCCAGTTGTTGTTTTTGGTTTTCTGTGCGTTCAGTTCCGCATTTGGCTGACGCACGCGGCATGCAACATCAGCGGCAACAACACTTACCACATTCTCAGCAACATCAACAATCTTCCAGTCTACTTGAAAACTCAGCCGCAATTAAGTTTTATGAAACATTCGTTTCAGATTCTCTCTCTTTTTTTGCTATTTTTCTGCGTCAATGAGGGTGTGCGAGGTGTGTGTGTATGTGTGGGGCAGGTTGGGCGTATGGAGGCGAAATTGTAATGCAAATTGAAAGGCACAAAGCGAAAATATGCCAAGCGAAACTGAACAATCAAAGCGGGAGACAAAGCAGCGCGACCACAGCTCGGCGACGTCAGCGGCAACGTCAGCAACAACCGCCAGCGGAGATCGCAGTGGCGTCAGGGGGAGGGACAGAGCACGGAGCCAGAAAATGTCACCGTCGCGATGCCCAGCAAATGGAAATTCGTATTCAAAGCAAACCGCCACTAGAGAGACACAAAAAAACAGAAAAAAAAACTATCAAAGAGAGATCACTCTTAATGCTGGGGCAACATATTAAAAAAAAGCTACATTTTGTTAGGGAAATATATATATTTATAATAAATATATTTATTTATTTACTTAAATATATATATTTTAATATTAAATATATATTCTTTGACTTTTTAAATCAATTCTTTAATAAGAAATTTTTTTACGAGGTTTTATCTTTCATAAATAGTAAAAATTTATTTAAAAAAAATGATTTATTTTTTTAAAAATCCTAAAAAAATCTTTAAAAAAATCATTAATTTTAATTCGGAAAGCAGAGTTTTGTTAGCTTTTATTAAACTAACAAATGTTACTTAAATCATACTTAATTTAACGTTTAAAACTAATTTTTTGACAATTTTAACGCTTTATAACCCATTACATTTTGAGAAAATCTGTAAACAATTTGTTGAACAATTTAAAGATTCAAAAAATCATAACTAATTTAAAAATACACCTATTTCAATTCGGAAAGCTGGTTTTTGTTAGTTTTTATTAGGTTAACAATTCTGCATACCCAATTTAGAAATTAAAAAATTCAACATTTTTATCAATTTTTGAATATTTTAATGATGTAACCCCTAATAAAATTTTAAAAAAATTGGAAAAAAAAAATTTCTTTCGGAGAAGTCTAGAAAGACGCGCCTGTTTGTGCTGATCAAGAATATATATGATTTATATGGTCGCAAATGACCTCTTCACGGCGTTTCAGGCTTTTGACTGAACTTATAATACCTTGTAGGGGTCTAAAGACTTGGGATCAGTGGGATCCTACGAAGATAAAAATTAAAAAATAAGTTAAAAAAGAAATTAGAAATTAAACTAAAAAAGTCACAAAACAAAAAAGAAAGAGAAAGGTAAAAAACCTGATAATAAGAGCCAAAATGAAACTGAATGGTTTTTTGGGATATTTAAAAGACTTCAAATTTTAGGGAAACTTAAAAATAAATTTTTATACAAAAAAATTAGGTATATTTAAGTATAAATCGGGATTAAAACTTTTATTTTAGTTGCTAAAATGCCAGCTACCTGTGATATTTATTATCCTCAGAATTTTAGGCAAACTTTGCTGTTATAAATATAACCTTAAAAAAATCTTTAAAAAGTTGTTCTCAGAATAAGGTATATTTTTTAGTAAGAATTATATCTTAATTTTAGTGACTAATTTTCCAGCTAGTTGGGCAGCACTGATCACAGATCGTGGCCGAGAAAAACTCACCACGCAGTCGCAATGAGCGAAAAAGCGAAAAGGCGGGCAGGCAGCATTTCGAGGTGACAAAGTGTCGTTGATGTTGTTGTTGTTGCTGTGGCTGATGCTGCTGTTGTTGTTGTTGTTGTTGCTGCTGCTGCTGCCGCCTCTCTTGTTGACTTTCAGCTCGCTCGACGGCTGCCCGCCGCTCAGTTGCCTTGTGCGGTCGGATGCTGCCGCCAGCAAAAGAACCGAAAAAAAACAAACAAAAAAATAAAAAGCAAAAAACTAAATGGAAAAAGCGGGCGGAAAATTCTAAAAGAAACAAGAATTAATTCGTTAATTTACGCGCGTGTTGCAAATTAATAAAAAAAAAGAAAGAAAAGTGTAAAACAAAGTATGAAAGTTGCCTGGAAAAAAAGGGGAAAATCAAAATCAAAACCAAAACAAAAGCCACTCGAGCGCGCCCCTTCGGGTCAATTAAGCCGAAAAATAAAAATAAAAATAACTGCCAGCCAAAAATATATACAAAAAGTACAAAAATAACCAAGCCAAGTCGAGTGTTTCTTTTTTTTCTTCTTTTTTTTTTAATTGAGCCCGAAATGGATAAATTGTTAAATTCCAATTAATTTAATCAATGAACTTGGAATGGCAGGCAAAGTTCAATGTTAGGCGTTGAATGTGATATATATACACCGATATTGATATATATATAAACCGAGAGATGTGCACAAATATGGGATATATGCGGCGGCATTTGCAATCTCTGAGAGTTTCGCTTGGCAAATGGCTTATGGACTTTGGCCCAAATTGAAAATTATTCTATTAAATATTACAAATTATTACACATTATATATATGTATTTTTAAATAATAAATTGTAATGATTTATTCTTTCAAATGGAGATTTTCCCCATCCCCAAGATCTTGGAATAAACGAAAGATAAATGCAAAGGCGAAGCAGGAGCAGGAGGATCAGTTTGAGGTTTACATTTAAGCTTAGACTTAGGCAGACTTTCCAGAACATTGATGAAAGGCTAGCGGGAATAGGGAAAATTTTGAAAAAGTCATTACCACTTGGTCCTTGGCCAGGCACAACCGCTCAGCGATGGTCACCACCAGAGAGCCGGGAGTCTCAAAATCATGCGGTATCTGACCATTACCGCCGCTCTCCAGATAACTAAACAGCGGAAACCAGGTGTTCATCCTCTTGGAATCGCTCCTCCGACAAGTCCCATTATTGGCCAATGTGTGGTAATAGCAAAAGAGCCTGGAGGTGATATAAAAAGCCACAAACACATCGATGGAGTAATGCTCGTGGGCGGCCAAAATGAGAAAGATGCCAAACAGGTTGAGCAGCCAGGTGAAAGCGTGCAGGATATATAGACTCCTTGGCGTATACTCCGTTATAGAGAAATTGAGCAAAGTAAGAGCCACCGTATGGCCACTGAACATGTAATCGCCACAGGTGCTAACGCCCTGAATGGACAGGCCCAAGCCCCGCCAGATGCGATAGGCACGTGTCAAGCGAATAACCATGGCACCCACCATGTCCACATTAGGATCATCAATGGCAAAGTCACTCTGATTGCACTGCAGATGCGTTCCGGGCACACTCAGCGATGTGATCAGCGTGGTGATGCAGCGCAGCAGGAAGACGGTGCCCGCCAGAGCGGAGAAGCGTCGCAAAAGCACCAGCCGATACTTGTGAAAGATCAACACGATCAGCCATAAGGTAAAGAGCAGCGATCCAGTGATCTCGGACAGACAAAAGGCCCACGGAATATGCGGTACATTGTCCAGAAAAATGTCCGGCAACGGAGGATAACGCTGCATATCCGGCACTCGCTCATGGACAATCACCATGACGAACGACGTTATCCAACTGACCAGAATGGAGTAGCACAGGCTAATGGCGGTCTTCAGATACTCGGGCGTCAGGCAGGACACGGGCACTGGCACTGGTTTGGCTGCCGCTGCAGGCTGAGATTCCGCCTGGCTATCACCTATCACGACCAACTGCAGCCGGAACACGGCCAGCCAGAATTTCTTGAGCTCACCAAAGGTGAGATTGTAGCCCAAACGATGGCGCAAATCCTGGACATCCCGCTCGGTGAGTGTGAGCAGAACCTCACCATCGATGGCCTCCTGGCGCAGGCAGTCCAACAGGATCTTCGAGGAGTGATCGGACTGGGTGGCCCATCTGGTCACGTCCTCCACGTTCCAGTGGGCCACCTGGCTGCTGCTGCTCCGCATGTTGCACGAACCTCACTTAATGCTGCCACCAGTGTTTGCTCAAACAAAAACACATTGAATTTAGTTGCTTTTGGAAAGGGAAACCCAGTGTCTACTCAGGTTATTATATAATAGATAGCAGATGGGGTTTTGTTGGAGTTATATTTGTTTTTTAAATGAATAAATATATATTATATATATATTTTATACATTTTTTATCTATTTAAATGCTCCTTTTCCCCATTAAGATATACATCTATAGGGAAACAAGAGTTCTTACATTTTTTATAGGACAAATTTTTTGTTTTTTATATATTTGAGCATTGTTTAGAGTTACTGCTGCTTTTATAAATATTTTAAAATGTAATATATATATATTAAATATTTTTATAATTTTTTTTATTTATATTTAAGAACTCCTTTTCCCTAGAAAAATGTCCGATTTGTATTTTTTTTTTTAGCTTTGTTCTGCTTCGTTTTTATATTTAAAAAAATTTTAAATACAAAAACACTAGGTTATATATTGATATATATTTTAAATTTATAATTTTTCTCTCTTCTAAAACCCAAAATAAATACCCAACTTAATTATTCCTATAAATATTAGCTAATCCAAGCAACCGAAATAAATAAAACCCAAGATTTCCGTCAGCTTTTCCCCATTTCATAATACTTTTAAGACATTTCTCCAAAAATATAATATATATTTTCACCACCTTAAAAGTTGCCAAAATAATATGCAGCTATGCACATTTGTTTGCCAAAAGATATGGTAATTGTTTTACCAACACCTTTGCCTATATCTTGGCTCTCTTCCACTTTTACTAGAATCGTATACTATATAGGCTTTACTATATTCGCGGCATGTGAACTTTGGGGCCAACTGCCAGCCGTGACATTTAAAGAATTTCGCACTCATTTATCAGAAAAAAAAAGAAGGAAGGAATGAAAACAGATCAAAATAGAGAAACTCTGGCATAAACTATATAGAAAGTACGTCGCATTTCGTTTATTTGATTTGATTTATTGTCGATTTGTTGCTCTTCCCTCTCTGATGATTTCTACTTGTTCTCTTTTTTGTTTTATTTTATATATATAATATATATTTTCTTTTTTTTTTGCTTTTGATTCGTCTTGTTTTGCCAGCTGCGGCCAGCCAAAAACATCACAAGACACAAATTAGGGAGAGCGGCGCCCACGAAATTGCGCATACGCCACGTGAGCCGGCCAGAAAAAAAAAAAGAATATTAAATAATAACAGAAGAAAAATAAGGAAAATGGCAATATTAATAATCCATATTCGTATAATATTTATCGACAAAATAAATATGCGAAATATGTGCAATTCCCATTGAAGCGTATTTTTATGGCAAACTAATTTCCAGCGGCAATTTATGCCTGCATAAATTTACACTTTAATCAAAATCAAAAACGGCACCTGCCTGTGTTCTCTCTCTCTCTCTCTCCCCGTATTTATCATATTTATAAATATATATATATAATTGCTGTTTTTAAAAATAAATATCAAGTCACACACATGTTTTAGATTTGAAATGTTTGACCGTTCTCATAATTAACTTGAGTATTTTTAGCAAAAAAAGAAAAGAAAACTGAGACAAAGTATTTCAATTAAAATTTGCCAGCTTCTTCTAGGCTACCAGCTCCTCTCGAGCTGCTTTTTTAAGGCCTTTTTTTGTTTATTTAAGTTCATTCATAAATTTAAGTAGTCCCAGATAATTTGTGATTGTGCCACAGATTAGGTAGCCACCAGGTTTAGCTGCTGATATTACGAAACGGAAGCGCCAGAAAAACAGCCCAGAAGAGATACGAGCCAGATAAGAACGGGGTAATAGAGGGGGTTCAAGGCACTCCCAGAAACAAAAAAAAAAAAAGAAAAAAGAAAAACTGAAATCCCTTGTTTGTCTCCAATTATTCACGCAGCCGATGAGGTGGCAAAGCAGCTTGTGTGTGTTTTTTATTAATATTTTTTAAAAGATAAGTGAAAAGATTGTCTAGATATCAGGCTACTTACTGGGAGAAATACCCTAAGATTTCTATCTATGAAAATGTTTATACAGAAATTACTAGTATTTTTCAAGCACCTTAAATGGTCATTCTAAAAGGCACCAAATATAAATTTAATTATTTGTTTATGAGGTAATATTATAAGCAATATTTTTTTTTAAATAAATCGCTTGAATATAACTTTATTTTTCTTAATTTATTTTATAGAGATTTATATATATATACTTATAAAATATATAAAATTACATAAAACTATATAAATTTAGAGAAGAGAAATTTACTAAATTATGTTAAAATTATTTTCCACTTTTCTTTTATTGTTTAACATATTTTTTCAATCAAACCTTTTTTGATTCTATTTAATTTTCTACTTTTAAAAGTGTATATTATTTTAAAAAAATATATTTTCAATATTTTTTCAATAAAACCCTCTGCTAACATTTAATTTTCCACTTATAAAAATATTAAAAATTTCCCCTCTATAGTTCTTTACACATCTTATTTTTCAAGTACAAAACTGATGCTTCTTTTAGCCATATTTCAACATTCTTCATCCCCCTTTTAGTTTATTTAATTGTTGGGTAGAAAACTTTTGTGACACAGACCCCCAAGGCCGGCATAAAAATTGAGACATTGGGATTCAGGATTTTCTGGGTTCTCTGGGTTTTTTGTCTGAAAAGTTTAAACCCAGACGACTGCTACTACGGTTGCCATGCAGATTTCCTAGGTTTCTTTTTTCCTGATTTTATTGAATTGTTTTTGGTGCTCGTTATCCTTCCACCTTCAGCCCCCACCCCCAAAAAGCAAGCCACCCCGTGGGAAGGCCAAACGCTTAATGCCAATTAAGAATATTAATTTCATTTGCAGGCCAGCCTCGTTTAGTGCCTTCCCCCGCCTGCAATCCTTGAGCATTTACAGGATGCAGCAACCTCTTTGATTACACAGGGAGAAAATATATAAACTATTTAGATTTTAGTTAGATTTATTTTAAAGGATTTTGTTCTTGTTTAGTTAGGAATTAAGGGAATTACTTGCTTTTCTTCTACTTTCTTTGTTTTTTAAATTATATATTTATTTATATGATAAAATATATTTTTTATAAATTTACAAGACATTTTTCTCTGCCTGTTGCTGCCGCTTGCCCATGGCTATTGTTAATATTCATTAGCTTAAAATCCTTTTCTCGAGTTGAAAGCTGTGCAGCTCGGCTCAAGTTGCCACGGCCAGAGACTCGGAAAATGGCTAACCATTTCTCAGTTTTCCTTCTATATTTTCTTCTTTTTTTTTTTTTTTTTTGAGGGGGAAGAGCGATGCTCGAAAGTTGTTGCCACGTTTTCAATTCAAATGTCCGGGCATTAATCGCAATCACAAGGACGAGAACGAGGACTCAAACTCAGAGACAGAGACGGCCAGGACGTGCAGATAATTTTTCATTTTGGCCAGCTCAAAATGGATTTCTCATTGGCTTAAATGTGCAAATGAATGGTTGATGTATATATACAAGGCTCCCACCTCTAAGCGGGGATCTATTCACAGAGCATAGTTGTGGGCGGTTATTAATGGTGGCTCCTTCGAAAGGGTTTAAGTATCTCTTTTTTATGAGATTTTTTCACGATGCTCTCTCTCACTCATTTGAGTGCTCATTTATTTATTTATTTTTGCACTTTTAAAGGCCAAAGAGCCAAAAGCAATAATAATTTTTTTACGATTTGTATTTTTATTATTTTGTCAGAGCCAAAATGCAAAAGTGTCATTATTTGGGATGCGTAAAAATATCTCAAGGCTCTTATTGATTTTGTGAATGAGGAGAAGGCTGCCCTCCCCCCACCTATATCTCAATTCCATTCGCATTTCCACCTTCACTTGCACAGTCCAAGCCTTTGGCGACAGTTTGCCTTTCATTAGCTGAACATTTCCCTGCATTACCTTGGTTTTCCTTGCTTTCCCTTGCTTTCCCCTGCTTTTACCCCCCAAATTTCCCTACGTTGACGGCAAAGTCCAGACCTCTTCAAAGGCAGTCGACATCAAAATTAATCACATTTGAATTGAAATTGCGTTTCAAGTTTGTGTTACGTCTTGCCTCCGCTTGGTTTTATTTGATTTCGGTTTTTGTGTTTTCCTTATTTCAGTGGTCATTCAAATTTTGGTAGCAAACGATTCTAATTAGTGATGATTGCCTCTCTTCTCGAGCTCTAAAATAAATATATTAGATAAGTAATTGTTTCTTTAATTGATTTTCGACAATATTTATAGATGGAAAAGAGTATTAAATTGTTATTATTATTAAATATTAATTTGTGCAATAAAAATATGGATAAATATTAATAAAAAGACGTAAAAAGTTGGAAATTCGTATATATTATGATTTGCTACTAGAAACATTTTTAATTAGTAAAAAAAATATTCCAAAAATATTGAAAGAATATATATAAATGAATAGAATATTAAAAAATAATAGAAGAAGTAAATATTAATTATTAAAATAATTAAAAAATAATTAAAGAAATGATATAATCCATTTTTAAGCATTTTGTATATTAATATTAATTACAATTAATACAAATTGTAAGTTTAAAATATTTTTAATTTAGTAAGCAGATTATAAAATGTAATTTTTTAATTAAGAAACATTTTTAATTTAGTATGCAGACTATTAAATTGAATTATTTAATTGAAAGTTTAACTAAATTTTAATCTTAAATGTAGTATGCTAATTATAAAATTGTGAATAAATGCTTAATTCCTAAAATTAAAGCATTTGAATTTAGTTGAGTTTTTAAAATATTTATTAATCGAAAAAATATGAAAATATCAATAAACATTGATTTCAATTCAATTTTTTTACTTTTCCGAACAACTTTTGCCAACAATCATTAAGAAAACTTATTATTAGTTGTAAATACCAAAGGTCAAAGTAATTATTTAAGGATGTATGGGATTTTCCAAGTATTAGCATTTGCATTTCGATAACTTGGCAAATAAAAATGCAATTTAAATATATATTTTTTTACATACAATGCATTCAGACTTGGAATTGTCTCAATTGAATGGCAAGAAGAAGCCTTTAAGAGACACTTGAAAAAGTCAGGCAAAATGGATTGGAATTTCCATTGATTTTACCAAGTTATTTGATGAACTATTAGCACAAAGCCGGCTCAGCATTTATTTCCATTTCGAGTCGCAGCAAAGGACGGCGTTCATTGTGACGTATTTAAGGCTGCAGTTGGCCAATTGATTTGCAATTCAATTTGGAAATGTTGCAACTTTTAGAAGGCATTGCGCCCACGGGTTTCCTTTTCATTTCATCCTTGGAGATTTAACCCCTTCTTAGGTTTCGATTACTTAACTTTAAGAATATTGATGCCTTCTTTACATTATTGCGGGAGTTAAGTAACTTTGAATGGTTCGCATTTAGTGGGAAATTGTTAGCCCAGAGAGGTTTTTCTAAAAAAAATGATGATATAAAATTATAGATAAATATAAAAAATTAAATAAATTATAGTTATATTTTTGTGTAGGTTGTAAGAAGCCTAATTTTTGTAAATTTTTTAATACATTTCTAAACATTCATTAATTTTTTTTAATTCATTTAAAATTGTAGTGTAGGTGTGTGCCTGTGTGTGCATCAGTGTGAGGTCACGTCAAACACAAACACACACACACACACGCACCGACACGCTACATTTAGCGGTAAATCAAGCGTGGATCCAAAAAAATCATTTTTTTTTGAGTAGCGCGTCAAAAACAGCGCATTAAACGCGCTCAAAACTCGCACAAAAAAAAGAGGAGAGGCGACACGCAAAAAGGATACTCAGCAAAAGTAGACAAAGAGGGGTAGATAGGGAAAGAGGGAGAGTGAGCAAGGAAAAGCTAAAAAGTCGCCGTAAACGTTGACAATTGACATGGAAAATCTGCAATCCGTTTCAAAAAGCAAACCTGCAATTTGCCAGGCCAATAAAAGGCTCCTCCTCTCTCTCTGCCTTTCTACCTCCCTTCGAAGGGCACGTAGTAAATTGAAATAAAATACAAAAAAATACACAAAAAAGGGGCCGAGAGTCACATTTATTTTTCTGTATGTATTTCCATCTGATAAGAACTTAATTACAATGCATATAAACAAAATGTATGCAAATGTATTAAGCCCACACGCACGGCACACTCACACCAAAACCACTGGCTGTGCGATGGAGCAAGATATCCGAATAATGTCCGGTCAAAGTTCTGTAAAGCCCACCTCGATTCTGGGGGAGTTTTCTATACTCTATATGAATGGGGAAATTCGTATTATTTAATTAGAAATATTTGAAAATCTTTAAGAAATGCAGTTAGTAATTTAAAATGATTAAGAGAAGGAAAAGCTTCGATTAAACTTCAGAATTAATTTATGTTCGATAAATAATATAAATATATTATTTACTGATTATAAATTAGTTCGAATTATGATCAGAAAATAATATATAAATATTGTAATCGGTTAAAAAATTAAAATAAACTAATATAATATTAATCATATCTATAAAATCGATATTTCAATACTAAAAAGAATATTTCTTGATATTTCAAATGATAATATATCAAGCTTTAAGATATTTTCGATATGATATAGAGCGGGTTATATTTTTTTATACATCATATGGGACTTTTCTTTTTGAAATTCAAGAAACCAATCATTATTTTTCCATGCCTACGAACTCTCAGTGAAATTCCAAAGCCCCCATAAATAAATATGTAAAATATTCAAATATAATTTAAATATATAAATAAATATATAAAATATTTTAATAAAATATAAATACATACATTTTGATGTATAAAATATATATCTTAAAATTATTTAACCAACGCAGATGTATCAAACCATAGCAAATTCGATAAAACTCCTAGCAAAGGGTATATAAAAATCGTTTGCAAAAACAAGCCAAAAGCAAAAACCAAAACAGAATCTCCGGGCAATCTTTTTGCGCCATAATGACAGCCACAGACACGAAAACGGACAGCAGCAGAAACAGCAACAGAGACAGAGCCAAAGCTCGAACGCGATCCGGAATCAGAATCAGTGCCGAAATCGGATTCCAACTGGGGATCTATCCGGCCAGAGTCCTGAATGACTGAATGACTGAATAACCACCAAAAAAAAAAAAAAAAAGAAAAGAGTAAATAAAACCAGACCAAAGGGAATGTGTAATGAAGTGAAATGTAAAACGTGAAAAATAAAAAATAAAAATAAAACAAAGTCAAGCGAAGGACGGATGTGGAGAAATAAGTCACTGTAAAGACCATGTTCATATCTTGTTTGGACTGTGATGCAAGCAACAGCAACAGCAATAGAAACAGCAACAGCAGCAGCAACAACGGCAACAACAGCAGCAGCAGCAACAGAAACAGCCCCAACAGCAGCACCAACATCCACAGCAATAACAACTACAGCAATAGCAGCACCAACTTAAATGACAGCAGCAATATCTGCAACAAGTGCAACCATAATAAATGCAATTGCGGTAGCAGCAACAGCAGCAGCAGCAGCACCAATAATATTAGCAATAGAAACTGCAACAATATTAACTGCAACAGCAGCAGTAGTAGAAACTGCAGCAGTAGTAGCAACAGCAATAGTGGCAACTGCAACACCAATACCAACTGTAGCAACAGTCAATGTTCCTGCTGCAAAGTCGCAAATTGTACGTGCCGCAGCAGCAGCATTAGCAACAATATCGCCAGCAGCCACAGCCAGGACTACAGTAGCAACTGCCATTGCAATTTATGCAACAAAGTTAACTGCAACAGCAGCAGCAAGCTGGCAGCGATATTTGGTATGGAGCGATTGCTGCACGCCGTACGCGAAGAGTTTCAAACGGAGGATGAGTTTGAGGATGAGGGCCAACCGCCGCACAGGACAAGCATCAGTAGCAGCAGCAGCAGCAGCAGTAGCAGCAGTAGCAGTAGCAGTGACAACAGCAACAGCAGTAGCAGCTGCAGCAGCACCGATGGCAGCCACACCTCCGCATCCCAGTTGTTGCCGATGGCAACGCGACGTCGTTTGCAGCGTGGCGATAGCATTTCATCGGTTACCGGTTCACCCATTACCGGACCCATTACCGCCTGGTCGGAGACGGGTGGCGGCGTCGCTTCGGGAACGTTGGGGGGAGCGGGTTCGGTGGGCGTTCGACGCTTCCGGCGCTCATCCATTGGAATGCAACGGAAGTCGGCCTTCCGGCAGCGGAAGCTCGACTCCCTGGGTGCGTGGCGCCGGAAGAGGTGAGTTTCTCAGCTAGCAAAAGGGAAAATGCGTAATATATATATTTAATATATATCATTTATGTTTGAACTTCCAAACGCAAAATCAATAATCGAATTCCTGGTTGACACAAAGTTGTCACAGAAAAACAAGGTCTTCCAATAAATTGTATTCTGTATTTAATTTATATTACCCTTGAATCTTTACATATCATAACAGAATATTAATCTAGCTTGCTACAAAATATATTCAGATTATATATAAAATATTAAATTAAAAAAACAAAACGTTTTCAGTGCTTATCGAGTGAAAAATCCTTTTTACCCGTATTTAAAAATGGTTTCTTAACCGTTGCCTGTCTCTCTATATCTCCCCCTCTCTCTCTATTGTATATCTTTCTCCCTCTATTGTATATCTTTCTCTTTCTATTTATAAGCAGGCGTACCGCTTCGGCTAGCAACTCCCGGAGACCGATACGGATTGTGCCCGATTGGACGGAGAATGCTGTGCAGGGCGAGCACTACTGGAAGCCCACTTCCGCATCCGGAGATCTTTGCTGTTTGAACGAGGAATGCATTGTGAGTACCAATCGATAACAAACGATAGCCAATAACATCTATGAATATCTATAAGCCACGATATATTACTATTAGTTTTGAATTAGTTCACATTACATAATTTTTATTTATTTATTTTATTTTTCTCAATTTAAATTAATATATTTACCCAATGTTACAAGCTAAACAAAGAAATTGTAGTAAAATTAATCGATATTTGTATCGATTATCAGTCGATATTTATCATATTTATTATTCAAATTATTAAAATAATTATAATTATTTATTTATTATGATTCTTATTTATTATTTACCCTATCTTGTCATTGCTCGATTTATTTTTCAATATCCCTCATGGATTATCCTCCTAATTTACCTGATACCTGCACCCTTGTGGTGTCTCCTGTCCGCTCCTCACTCCGACATTCCTGCAATTCAATTAACACAACGGGAAATGTGAAGTGAAAGGCAGGTTACATGTGAGCGTTATTTATTTATTGCGTGCTCGTCCAACATTCACGCAATAAACCTAGGATAAACACAGGGGCTCTGTGTGGAGTGTCCTTGGAGGCGGGAGGCGGAGGGAGAGCCAAGAACGATGGGCGTGTCATCGGTTTTGGGCAGCCAAAGAAGCCAAGAGTAACAAAAAAAGTACTTTATCAGTCTCATTGTCAGCCAAAGTGGGGGGGAAACTTACACGAAAATAAACTTGGCCAGCCACCTTGTATTTTATTTTATTTTTTTATATACAAAAACCTGTCTTATCTTCATCTTTTCAAGAAATACAAGTGGGAGAAATAATCTAAGCATAGCCAGGAGACACATTTATGGCATTTATAGGGTCCAGGATTCATATAAAAATTTAAAGTTGAGTTTGGATTTTGTTTTTGAAAATTCCAAGTTTAATTTAATGTTTATTAAAGGTTTATTGGGAATTTATTAAAGATTTTTGAATAATTTAATAAAGTTGATCCATAAAATGTTTTAAATAACAAAAATTAATATTAATTATAAAGAAAATTAAGTACATTTCAAGCAATAAAACTCCTTTTAGTTATTTTAACTTAAAATCTAATAAAAAATATATCCAAAAGTTCAGATAAATAAACAACCTAGAGCCCAGATCCTGGGCCACAACTTTTGCCTCAAATTAAATCCAAGCCCAGAAGTAGCTATCTCAGGTGAAAAGGTAAGCTAAAGTTTACCTGGAAACAATTACACAAAAACCGTTTCCGAAACTAGCACAATAAACAATCACAAGCAGAGGGATATTCTTGGCATTCCAAGGAAAAACATCTCAGCAAACCTGAGGCATTTTCCACGACGGCAATCCGTTTTCACCTGTCACTTACCTCACCTCACCTCTCCCCTCCCACCGCTTTGACAATTAATTTGAAAGTTTGTTTTGCGGAATGCAAACGGCAATTGCAGTTTCGTCATTTGATTGCGGTTTTTGCAAAGCGATACCACCTGGAATTTGCTAATTAGTTTCGAGCTAATAAGAGTAAGGGTTGCCCTGATTAAAACAATATAATTATGATTAATTATATTTATTTTTTAATTATTATTAATTATATTTATATTATATATTATATACATTTTCCTAGCCATAACTCTGAATTGCATTTCCCTTTCTCTTTGCCATTGCAGAAGAGCGGCCAGCGGATGAAGTGCTCCGCCTGCCAGTTGATTGCGCACCAAAACTGCATTCCGTTTGTGAACGAAAAGAGCCAGCTGGCCTGCAAGCCCACCTATCGGGATGTGGGCATCCGTCAGTATCGGGAGCAGACCACCACCCACCATCATTGGGTGCATCGCAAGCTGGAGAAGGGCAAGTGCAAGCAGTGCGGAAAGGTAGGTTTACTTCAAGAACCAAAGCAGCATTTTACCTGAGTTTGGGTTTTTTCTACATTTTTTTTGTATTTTGCATATTCATTTGTTTATGCTTTGTTCAGTTTCTTGTTGGAAACACACGGTTTTTCCATTGATAAAGCGATATACAATATTCAATGAGTTTTTATTTGTTGGCTGAGGGCCTCTTAACGGTTCAATGGGTAAAACCACAAATTTCCATACAAATTTTCATTGAAATTTTCATACAAATTTCCATACAAATTTCCATACAAATTTCCATGCAAATTTCCATACAAATTTTCCTTAAAATTTCCATACAAATTTCCATTGAAATTTTCATAAAAATTTAAGGGAATTTTAACGTTAATGATAGAGAAATTGGTTTTTGGGGCATCAAAATACTTACTTTATATTATTTATAATTAAATGTTGCCTAAAAATATATTTTCCAGCTAGATTGGTTAGAAAAACATACCTTTAAATATAAATAAAAACAATTTCAATTAAAATTAATAAATTGATTCTCTTTTTCAATTGTTTATAATTAAATTTTACCTACAAATATATTTTTCATATTTACAAAAACCTATTTTAAAATAATTTAAATTCAATTTAATTAATTTTTTCCCTTGTTCAAGTCACTAATATAATTTTTAAAAATAATATAACTTAAAATAAAATTCATTTCTCTGCAAACAAATATTATTTTTCTATGTGTACATAATAATAACTAGTTTTCAAGCATGAAGAGATCGAGAATGCATATATTCCTATTGGAACAAAATAAAAACAAAAAATCCAGACTCCTTCAGTACTAATTTTCTGTATGGTCTATACTGATCCCCATCTCTCCCGTAAAGCAGGCGGTGCAGAGCAAGCTCTTCGGCTCGAAGGAGATTGTGGCGTTGTCCTGCGCCTGGTGCCATGAGATCTACCACAACAAGGAGTCCTGCTTCAACCAGGCCAAAATCGGCGAGGAGTGTCGTCTGGGTGAGTCCTGCATATATTCACACAGGGATATCTATCTCCCTCTTCCCCGTCTCGTTACGTCCTTTGTCCTTTTGATTAATTACGTGACGCGCATGCAAATAAATTGCGGTCCGTTAACTTAATTAAGATTTGTGAATTAAAAGCGAGCCCGAAAAAGTACCTCCTGAGAGAATGGGCCATTTCAATCACTTGAATTCTCTCGTTTGGTGGGTGAACAATTTGTAGCATAGTTATTGGGGCAGCAAGGACTTTTTTGGTCTAAAATAAGTTTAAAAATAGAAATTATAAATAAAATATTTGTATTATAAATATATATACTCAAATGGTATTTGAAAAATTATTGATTTATTAAAAATCAATATTTTAACGTGGCGATTTATGAGCAATAAATCAATGCACAGTTTGATGTATTCAATCATCAATCGAACATATTAACTAAGCTAAAGAGAGGCCTACATTTAATTTATAATGGTTGAAATATAATTACAAGAAAACATTCAACAATTGAATCAAATAATAAAATTATAGGATATTTTGTTCAATGAAATTTTAAGCATAGAATGCGATATTTTATAACCTTTAAGGACATTCGATTTTTAGTCAGTAGTTGAAAACACATCGAAGAAGTCGTTTCCGACCCTATAAAGCATATATATTCTTGATCAGCACAAACAGGCGCTTCTTTCTAGCCTTCTCCGAAAGAAAATATATTTTTTTTAATTTTTTCAAAATTTGATAAGGGGTACCATCATAAAAATTTGCAAATTTTTGGAAAAAAAATAAAATTTTAAATGTGGTATGCAGATTTGTTAACCTCGTCAAAACTAACATAACAACGTTTTCAGAATTGATTTTAGTACATTTTTGGCTTGGTTATGGAATTTTTAAGATATGGATTTTTGATATTTTGACTTTCATTTTTCAAAAAACTATTATTAAAAATTATGAATAAATATTAAAATTAAATTAAGTATGCAGATTTATTAAGCGTAAAATAACTAACACAACAGCGTTTTCCGAATTGAATTTACTGCATTTTTGTATTTTTTATGGATTTTTAAAAATTCGATTTTTTACAAAAAATAAAAATTCACCATTTTCTCAAAAAAATGTAAGGGGTACCATCATTAAAATTTGCAAATTTTGGAAAAAAATAAAATTTTAAATGTGGTATGCAGATTTGTTAACCTCGTCAAAACTAACATAACAACGTTTTCAGAATTGATTTTAGTACATTTTTGGCTTGGTTATGGAATTTTGAATTTATTGATTTTCTATATTTTGCCTCTTTACTTTGCAAAAAATGATGATAAAAAATTATGAATAATTATTAAAATTAAATTTAGTGTGCAGATTTCTTACCCGTAAAAAAACCAACACAACAACGTTTACCGAATCGAATTTAGGGCATTTTTGCCTTAGTTATGATTCCAAACTTCAAAGGTATTCAAACATATACTTTCCAAAGTTAGTAGTGGAAAATAGCCCCTTTAGGTAGTGATTAAACCAAAGCAAATCATAATGCATTTATGATTTAATTGTAGACTGTTCATAAAGCAAGCGCATATTTAATCCTGCCATCTGTTTGTCCCTCGCTCATTGTTTATCCTGATGAATTCCTGCGGAGTTGGAAAATCCACAGAATTCAGAAGGTCAAGCGTTTGCCAATAAGCCGAACTAGCAGCTTAGCCATATGGAAAAGGGGGAGGGCGCAGTGGGAAGGCATTGGGAATCACAAATGTCAATGCCAAGGACATCCCAAAGGATGGCTTTGCGCCATCTGTTTGGACTTATCATCTCGACGAATTCCCCAGAAAGCTGCTCAGCCGCAATCTGTGGGCTGTGGCGGGCGTAATGTAAACTATTTTTAATTAAAGTAATTGCTATAAAACGCTAACTGGCAGTCAGCAGCACCTAGTCTCCTGACTGTCCCAGTTGTCCCGGCATTCCTGGCAACGGGAATGTTGCAACAAAGTCCCCATGATGATGATGATGCTGACTTAACCGCTTCCTGTTCACGTTTTTATAAAGTGTCTCAATGAGCATCTTGTTAACACACACTCTCTCTCTCAACGGCAAATGCCGTTATGCACACTCCGGCTGTCATCCTGGCTGCCTGGCTGCCTGCCATCCCGGTATCCCAAGCAAGCAATGGGCGGCGGAAGGGACAAGGACATGACCGGAGATGAAGACAAGACAGCACGAAATAGAATTACGAGTGGGTGGGGAGTGTCATGTGGGGCTGTGGTGGTGACTTGGATCGGATCCTTTGTCCTCCTTTGAGCAGCAGCAGCAGTTCCTTTTGGCCAAGTTGTGGCATTCATAATTGCTCTTTGGTATGCCGGTTATGCTAGCTCCCATTTTCTCCGTTCTATTTTCCATGGCTTTTCCCTTTGTTCCCACCCACACACACACTCACACAGCTAAACTTAAAGGTGGTAAATTGAATTTAGTTGCTTGGCAATTCTTAAGCACTTGCCACTCCGCTCCACACACTCACACAATTAGCTCTTCCGGAAAGGCCAAACAGTGTGACACACAGAAAAAGATAATATATATATTTATTCTTTTGCAATAAATAAATGTTTGTGCATATTCCATAGTTTTATAAGAGTAAAAGATTGCTATTTTTAAATAAAAATATTTTGAATTCTGTGTTTTTTTTTTACCTTAAAAGAATTTTGTTTACAGTAAACTAGATTTTTCTTAGATTTTAAATATAAAAATGGTATTTTTGAGGTTTTTGCTGCGGCCATCTATCGGTCAAAAACCGAACTATTGCGTTAAAAACTGTTCCCAGTATAAACTTAGCATCACAAGCTGTTCCCAGTATTAACGCAGAATCGCAAACTTTTCCCAGTATAATCGCAGCATTGCAAACTGTTCTCATTATAAACTCAGCGCAAAAGTATGCCATAAATTGGCACCTTCGGTTGTTGCAAATTTATTCAGCCCAAAAGATGCACCATAATTTGGCCTGGCAATTCGGCGACTCTTGCCTATGGTTTTTAACTGCATACTTATTTGGGCAGCACAACGATACTGATTTGAGCGATGACGTAATTGCAAAAGCGATCGATGCTTGTTGTTGTTGTACAATTGTTGTTGTTTTATATAGAGGCAGTGTTTGTTGTTGTTGTAAGCAAAAACAAGGCTTAAATTTAGATATTTTCAGTGCAAAATCTTCAATTCTGGTATTTCATGTACCAGGCGCACAGAATCAGCAGAAAGTGGATTAACTTTAGAACAATCCAATATTTTCACTCAAATTACGATATTGCTCAGAGCTGCTCATCACTTACGGTCTTCGCTCTCCTGCTCTTTTTTCGCCAGTTACGATCTTCGGGGATTGGGAGAGCCATTATTTGCAATGCAAGCATTTCACTCATTCACAGATTATCTAGCTTGTTGTTGTTAAATTGATATTGTTGTAAAAATATTGTTTTTGTTGTTGTAGCAAAAACTATGCTGAAAATCTATACATTTTCAGTACAAATTCAGCAATTCCTGGATTTCATGTACCAGGCGCACAGAATCAGCAGAAAGTGGATTTACCTAGTGAAATCCAATATTTTCACTCAAATTACGATATTGCTCAGAGCTGCTCATCACTTACGGTCCTCGCTCTGCTGCTCTTTGTTCGCCAGTTACGGTCTTCGGGGATTGGGAGAGTCATTATTTGCAATGCAATTTGCATTTTCACTCATTCACAGATTATCTAGCTTGTTGTTGTTAAATTGATATTGTTGTAAAAATATTGTTTTTATTGTTGTAGCAAAAACAATGCTGAAAATCTATACATTTTTAGTACAAATCCGTCAGTTCCTGAATTTCATGTACCAGGCGCACAGAATCAGCAGAAGGTGGATTTGCGTTAGTGCAAAAGCATTTTTTTCACTCAATTCTAATACTTCCACTCATTGTTTTACTCTTCGCTGCAGATCAGCTCATCTGAGCTTCCGTCTTCTGTGTTCGAGCAGCCGTTACCGTAGCTCTTTAACTCAATTGATTTTCAGAGCTGCACGTCAGCTACGGTCTTCGCTCTTCTGCTCTTTGTTCGCCAGTTACGGTCTTCGGGAAATTAGAGAGCCGAATTGAGTGCAAAGCATTATTTGCAATGCAAGCATTTTCACTCAACCCACAGATCATCTAGGTTGTTGTTGTTAAATTGATATTGTTGTAAAAATATTGTTTTTGTTGTTGTAGCAAAAACTATGCTGAAAATCTATACATTTTCAGTACAAATTCAGCAATTCCTGGATTTCATGTACCAGGCGCACAGAATCAGCAGGAGGTGGATTTACTTTAATGCAAACGAATTTTTCACTCAAATTACGATATTTCTCTGGGCTGCTCATCTCAGATACGGTCTTCGCTCTCCCGCTGTTTGCTCGTCAGGTACGGCCTTCGGGGATTTGGAGAGCCACAATGAGTGCACAGAATTCTTTTTACTCAAATTCAACATTTCTCACTCATTGCACAGATCAGCTCGTTGACTCTTTGAGAGCAACGATTAAAATAACTCAAAGGCCCATTAGAAATGAACAACTGTTGTTGTTGTTAAAGGCATTTGTTGTAGTAGTACTATTTTTATTGTTGTAGCAACAACGAGGCTTCAATTTGGCCATTTTCAGTACAAATTCATACATTTCTGGGAGTGAAGTACCAGGCGAACAGAATCAGCAGAAGGTGGATTTACTCTAGTGCAAAAAAAATTTTCACTCAAAAATGATATAGCATGGACTCAAACCATTGAGTGAAAATTTTTGCATAGTTTTTGCTACAACAACAAAAACAATATTTTTACAACAATATCAATTTAACAACAACAAGCTAGATAATCTGTGAATGAGTGAAAATGCTTGCATTGCAAATAATGGCTCTCCCAATCCCCGAAGATCGTAACTGGCGAAAAAGAGCAGGAGAGCGAAGACCGTAAGTGATGAGCAGCTCTGAGCAATATCGTAATTTGAGTGAAAATATTGGATTGTTCTAAAGTTAATCCACTTTCTGCTGATTCTGTGCGCCTGGTACATGAAATACCAGAATTGAAGATTTTGCACTGAAAATATCTAAATTTAAGCCTTGTTTTTGCTTACAACAACAACAAACACTGCCTCTATATAAAACAACAACAATTGTACAACAACAACAAGCATCGATCGCTCTTGCAATTACGTCATCGCTCAAATCGCTCAAATCGTTGTGCTGCCCAGATAAGTATGCAACATAGGCAAGAGACGCCGAATTGTCAGGCCAAATTATGGTGCATATTTTGGGCTGAACAAATATGCAACAACCGGAGGCTTCAATTCATGGCATACTTTTGCGCTGAGTTTATACTGGGATCAGTTTGTGATGCTGTGTTAATACTGAGAACAGTTTGTATTGCTGAGTTTATACTGGGAAAAGTTTGTAGTTCTGAGTTTATTTGGAAAAATACAATTGTTATATGTTGTTTCTTGTGTAAAATACCATTTATTTTATTATTTTTTCTCCGCTCCCTCTCTCTTTCAGGCAACTATGCGCCCATCATTGTGCCGCCGTCGTGGATTGTGAAGCTGCCGAACAAGGGCAACTTCAAGTCCTCGATTCGTGTGAGCAACAAGAACAATGCCGCCTCGGGCTCAGCGGGCGGTGGTGGTGGCGGGTCAGGAGCTGGCGGTGGATCCGGTGCTGGCAGCGGCGGCGGCGGCGGACAGGGTGGTGGACACAAGAGCAAGAAGCATACACAGCGTCGGCACAAGGCCAAGGACGAGAAGAAGGAGCCGAGGGCGTTCATTGTGAAGCCAATACCATCGCCGGAGGTAATCCCGGTCATTGTGTTTATTAATCCCAAATCCGGTGGCAATCAGGGTGTCAAGCTCCTGGGCAAGTTCCAGCATCTGCTCAATCCGCGCCAGGTGTTTGATCTCACCCAGGGGGGTCCTAAAATGGGGTGAGTATACAAAAGATATATATTAATATTGAATAAATATATAAATAAATAATAATATAAATTTATATTTCTTTTCAGCCTCGACATGTTCCGCAAGGCCCCCAATCTGCGGCTATTGGCCTGCGGCGGCGACGGCACTGTGGGCTGGGTCCTGTCCGTCCTGGACCAGATCCAGCCACCCCTGCAGCCGGTCCCGGCCGTCGGTGTCCTGCCCCTGGGCACTGGAAATGATCTCGCTCGCGCTCTTGGATGGGGCGGGGTAAGTAAACCATTGTCCCTTTTGACTAATGAACACACCTGCTACCTTTACCACACTAAGTAGCGCTAGGAGCTCTCATTATTTTCATTATTTTTATTATTTTAAATATTTTATTGACATTTTTGTATATCTTGATATAAGTCTGCTTCAAGTTTGAGATGAAAATTACACTCATACGACACGTAAGCCAGATTTCAAGCCAAAATAAAAGCATTTAAACATTTAAGCATCTATTTAACAATATTTATATATTAGAAATAAGTTAATCAAGGAATTTAAGGCTTCATTTTTTAATTTCTATTTAAAATATTACTTCTATTTAATTGGTTATTAATTTATGCCTAAGCTATTAACCCAAAACTCCCATTAAAACCTACAAATAACCCATTACTAAGCATAATATTTAATTAACCTTTACTAAATATATAATATATCTTAGAAATAACCACTGGCAACACTGCGTATGGGTGATTTTAGGGTTTTACTAATGTATCTAAGTATCTAACACACATTGTCTCACGTACAATTGAGTTACCATTGTGGCAGTAAATTAGATTTCATTTGTTTCCGGCATTTTTGCACCCGAAAATGACAACAGTGCTTCCAACTCCAACTTCAGGGCTATACGGATGAACCGATTGGTAAGATACTGCGCGAGATTGGCATGTCGCAGTGCGTTTTAATGGATCGCTGGCGCGTCAAGGTGACGCCCAACGATGATGTCAGCGACGATCATGTCGACAGGAGCAAGGCAAATGTGCCCCTGAATGTGATCAACAATTATTTCTCATTCGGTGTGGATGCCCACATTGCCCTCGAATTTCACGAGGCACGCGAAGCGCATCCGGAGCGCTTCAATTCGCGGCTAAGGAACAAGATGTACTATGGCCAGATGGGCGGCAAGGATCTGATCCTGCGCCAGTATCGCAACCTGTCCCAGTGGGTAACCCTGGAGTGCGATGGCCAGGATTTCACCGGCAAGCTACGGGATGCTGGCTGCCATGCGGTGCTCTTCCTGAACATTCCCAGGTGGGTAGATGGGCCTTTCCTTTCAATCTAGCTTTTAAATTAGTTAATTATTAGCTAAAATTTAGCTAAAATTATTAGTAAAAATATATAATAATTCATAAATAACCCTATTCTTTAGCTATGGCGGCGGCACTCATCCTTGGAACGACTCCTTTGGCTCTGCCAAGCCTTCGATTGACGACGGCCTAATGGAAGTGGTGGGACTGACCACCTACCAGCTGCCCATGCTGCAGGCGGGCATGCATGGCACCTGCATCTGCCAGTGCCGCAAGGCAAGAATCATCACCCGGCGCACCATACCCATGCAGGTGGATGGCGAGGCCTGCCGGGTGAAGCCCTCGATCATTGAGATCGAGCTGCTCAACAAGGCTTTGATGCTGTCCAAAAGGAAGCATGGACGCGGCGATGTCCAGTGAGTCTTCCTTGATACTCTCAACAAATTTATATATTTTATATATATTCTTTTTCTGTTTTTAGGGTGAATCCCCTGGAGAAGATGCAGCTGCACATCCTGCGGGTGACCATGCAGCAGTACGAGCAGTATCACTACGACAAGGAGATGCTGCGCAAGCTGGCCAACAAGCTGGGCCAGATCGAGATCGAGTCGCAGGTCGATCTGGAGCATGTCCGCAACATGCTCAACTCCAAGTTCGAGGAGTCCATCTCATATCCCAAGGTCTCGCAGGACTGGTGCTTCATCGACTGTGAGTCTCGGCACATCCTTCCCCCCTCTCTTTTTTTTAATATAAATTTCCCCTGTCATAGCCTGCACTGCGGAGCACTATTTCCGCATTGATCGCGCCCAGGAGCACTTGCACTACATCTGTGACATTGCCATCGATGAGCTGTATATACTGGACCATGAGGCGGCCACCATGCCACAGACACCGGACCAGGAGCGCTCCTTTGCGGCCTTCTCGCAGCGGCAGGCGCAGAATGAGCGCCGGCAAATGGACCAGGCCCAGGGCCGTGGCCCGGGCAGCACGGGTAGGCTCTCCTCCCGCCTCTTGGCTGGCTGCTGGCCGCCACGAACGGGCTTGAATGGGGATGGGGGTTATGGCGGCGGTGGCGGCGGGGCAAACGAGCTGCCGCTGCAGGAGCGGCTCGAGCTCTACCAGCAGCATGTGGCCGAGCAGCTGCCGTACTTGGACAGGCGCATGTTTCTGCACCTCCACTTCCGCAAGCGGCGCATCGAGATCTAAAATCTCCTCATACTCCTCCTGGAAGCCCCCCTGAATCCTTCCCTAAATCCTCACAAATCCAAGCGGGGGTGGGCAAAAGCGGAGTGGAGGCTGCCAGTTGTCCTGTCCACTCACATCCTTCGTTTCGTTGCATTGCCTTATGTTTAATGTTGATAATTGCATGTCCCCATCACTCAGAGCATCTACACTCAGAGAAACCAGGTTGCGGTCGAAAGGAGAATATAGTCTACCATCTAAATGTATATATTGAGTTCTGTTAGAAGTACTTTATAGCCAATCTAGATCAAATCGGATTGTTTTTTAATCTCTTTTAAGATTTAATCTAAGATTAGAGCTTGTAAATTATAAATCTTTACGAGAAGAAGCCACAAAAAACCGAAGAGAATCGATTTATTTGGGGGGAAAGGAAATACAATTTTCATGCAGGGTATTTATTATTCAGTCAAATGAGTGCAGGGTAGTGAAGGAGTCATTTGCGACCCTATAAATCATACATATTCTTTATCAGCACAAACAGGCGCGTCTTTCTAGCCTTGTCTAAACGAAAAAAAAAATTTTTTTCGATTTTTTCAAAATTTGATAAGGGGTTACATCATTAAAATTTTCAAATTAACTAACATAACAACGTTTTCAGAATTGATTTTAGTACATTTTTGGCATAGTTATAGAATATTGAATATATGGATTTTCTATATTTTGCCTCTTACTTTCCAAAAAAATTATTATAAAAAAATTATGGATAAATATTAAAATTAATAAGGTATGCAGGTTTATTAACCTTAAAATAATGAACAAAAAAACGTTTTCCGATTTAAATTCAATGAATTTTTGACTTAGTTATGGTTTTTTGAATCTTTTACTTGTCCAAGAAATTCTTTAAAATCTGTAAAATCTGTACAATACTATTTCGATCGCAACTGAATGCATAAAACACATTAGCCCACACACTAAACCACTCGCATACCTACCTACACATGCTATATAAGAATCGATATCCTAATTGCGAGGAGCCGAATACAGCTTAGTCCTTGCCACGATCGCATGTAAGTAGAGCATTAAATACGATTACCTTCGAGCACTTAATGGTATATAATCCCGGCTTACATCAACAGTTAACCGTAGCAAGGACCAAACCGTATTCGTTACGATCCCATCTCAAAAAAACAAACCAAAACAAAAACCAACCCAATATCAAACCGATAAACGATAACAGAAACACACACAAAATGGCCCGGAAACGGGTAGGTTTGATGCCTTGCAATTGTGCCCTCTGGTAGCTAGTATTTAGTTAGTTATTTGATTTCCTAACCATAGTTATAGTTAACTTTAGTTGTAATTGTTTGATTTCGATGGCTTACTAACAATTTTTAACTCTCTTTTCGAATTTGCCACAAACACAAACACACTATACACGATACACGATACATACATATATATATATACTCGAAATACACTGTAATTCCAAAAACCTAAAGATGAGGATTTGCAAATTGGCTCCAAGCCCATTAAAGTGATGAAGTGGAAGAGGTAAAAAGCGTCCCCAGCCCCGATTCGTTCAGCATTTCATTTCAAATCAAAATCAAAATCATTTGAAGAAAAGAGACGACCATGAACCGAGCAAGACGGTATTAATAGTCAGTCGCAGCAAAATTTCAACAATTAATTCAAAATCTCTCTTTCCCTTTCCCTCTCTCCTTAATTGGATCATTTGGTGACAGCTGTCTGTCTCGTTCGGCCTGCTCATATAGCTAGCTCGCTCTCTCTCTCTCTCTCTGTCTCTCTCTTTCACACGCTTTTTTCATGCTCCACGAAATATCCGCCATCTCTCTCTCACACACAAAATCTCCCTGTCGCTATCTCTCTTTCTCTCTCCTTCCCTGAGCAATCTATCCTCCTCCGTCTTGATTTGATTCAATTTCATTTTCATTTTTGATTTGATTTCATTCAATTGATTCAATTATTTTCCTATTTTCTGTACAAAATATATATATATATATATAACTTTTGCATGCAGCAACAAAGATCGTTTATTCAGTTTCAACGAAGATGTTTTTGGTTATGGATTCAGGTATTCCGTATAACTAGCTGCCTCTTTCCTTCCTTATTATTACTCGACTGTCTGTTGTGGCTATTCTGTCTCTCTTTCTATCTATCTGTCTGTCTTTCTCTATTCTTTTTGTCTATCTTACTCTTTTACTCTCGTATCATCTACATTTGAATCGAAAAAAAAAACGAATGATAAAACCCAACCGAACTGATGCTTGAATTTCTCTTTTTATTTTCTCTCTCTTTCATGCACACACACACACATGCGCTCTCTGTCTCTCTCTAAAACACACACACACACATATATACATTTGAATAATAGCCCTATACTGGAGCAAACTTCCGATGCCGTACTACTAGCAGCCCAGAGCGGCGACCTCAATATGGTAGCATAACTATTACGATATATATTTGACCTAACCGTATGCCAAATTATATATATTAATTGTATATTATATACCGGATTAGCTGTAGCTGTAGTTGAAATTACAAATATAGTCGAGAGCCCAATTAATTCCTGTTTAACAACGCTCTCTTGCAGTTACGTGCACTACATGAACAAGGATACTCACTGCAGTCAGTGAACAAGAACGGACAGACCGCCTTGCACTTTGCCTGCAAATACAACCATAAGGACATTGTTAAATATATCATCTCGTGCGCCACGCGACGCGTCATCAACATGGCCGACAAGGAGCTGTAAGTACAGTTGCCATCCACGATTAACAGGGTGTTCCCAGCTTTTTTGGCTTGCTGGAAACTTTGCAGGCAATAAAATTTGCTCTTTTTCCTTTTCATTTTTTTTACCTTGCCTGGCTTATAATTCCCAAGTCTCACTTTGCAGGAAATCCTACCTGGCTTTATGTCCCACCTACATCAGTTCGAACAAGGTGTTCCCAGTTTTCTTGCCTAACAATTTCCAAGTCCGACTTTGCAGGAAATAAAATATATTAAATTAAGTAATACAGTTCGTACAACAGGGTGTTTGCATTATCCTTGTCGTTTTCTACCTTGCCTGGCTTATAATTCCCAAGTCTACATTAGCAGGAAATTCTAGATCGCCTAATTTCCCAGTTAAATCTGTTCCTACAGGGTGTTCCCATTTTCTCTTTCGACTTTGGCTTTCTAAAGTTAACTTTCTTTCTTGCTGAATTCTTACTTGGGCAACTTTGTTCTCCTAACTTTATATTCTTTTAAAATATATATAATAATATATATAATTTTTTTTTGTATATATTTGTATGTTCTAAAAACCCCTATTTTCGCCCTATTTTTCTTGCAGTGGGCAAACCGCACTCCACATCGCCGCCGAGCAGAATCGCCGCGATATCTGCGTTATGCTAGTGGCAGCCGGCGCCAACCTGCAGGCCCGTGACTCTGGCGGCAACACGGCCATGATGGTGGCCTTCAATAAGAACGCCAACGAGATAGCAACGTATTTGGAAAGTAAGCAGGGAACGCAGCCCGTGGACAGTTGCTGGGCCCTAAATGACTCGAATACTTCGCCGCCGGCCCCCTCCATGTAGAGCAATTGCTAGAGAAAAAACACAAAGCATATACCCCACCAGCATCATATTATCCATTGGACGGACAGAAAAACGAAACATAATGATGGCCAAGAGAGCGTAATTTTAATATTTACAAATTTCTCCTTTCTATGCCAACACAAAAATATAAACACCTGGAACTTCTCTTGTAAATAATGCAAACAAAACAACAACTAAAATCAAAACGAAACTAAATGTTTGAAATTAAATCAAATCAACATTCCAAAAAACAAAAAACGCCCTGGGATTCCCGCTTAGGTCAAGAGCGTTTTATGCATCTGGAGGTGCAGACCAGGATCTAAGGGGGGCGACGAGGGACGGGGACGAAGGAGGCGAAGCATTCACCCTACGACATAATTAATAATTAATTAATAAATAATGATAATCTTTTTTTTTGTGCAATCACTGTTTTTTTTTTTTTAAATTAGTTAATATAAAATTAAGCAAAGAAAATACAAACAACACTCGACAACACACATTTTAGCCAGTAAGCTCGCATAAGAGAGAAAGAGAGAGAGAAGGTAAAAATTATTGTAAAGCAAAGCTAGCAAGACGAGGTAACTTTTAATTTCCTAATTAAAGATTGAGTGTAAATTCGAAATTCGAAATTAATTTGTTTTCACTTACCGATTGATTAACGATTAATGATTATATTGTGATATCTAAATTAATTAATTAATTAGAGAGAGAACGAGAGAGCGAAGCGATATTACTGAATAATCGAAATAAAACCTTCAACACACACACACACACAACACACATTATTTATAAATAATATTATATTTAAAATAATATTTAAATGTACTTCTTTTGGAATTCTAGGCTAAGTAAAAACTTGAATACTCTGATCGACAAGCGAATAAGACAGAGAGCAGCAAAAGCAGCAGCACGATTAGAAAGAGATAGACAGAGCGATCAAGAAAGAGATAGAGAGATAGAGCGTTTTGCCGAGCTCAATAGCTGTCTCGCTCAGACAAAGAAAAACACACACACACAGTCCCGATGCACAGACTAGAATGCACAACCCCCGTTAGCTGTACCTACACTCGTATTTAGGATATATCCATACCATATATCCCCATTTATAAACTCAGACCCGAACCCTCAGCGTTTCAAACCGAAAGACTTGGGTGTATCTCCCCCCCCATAGGTTACTTGCCCGCCTCTAAAGGGAGACGACGGCTAGCAGGCAAGGACCAACAAAGACTATCTATGTATACTCTACCCTCTATATTCTATACCCTATAATTCTGTATTCCGTATTCCCTGCACCTAAACAATGAGTAATAATATAATAATATATGTATACAACAAACACACACTCACACACATTTTATCGAATCAAAAAATGTTATTACGAATATCCAGAATAGCCGTTAGTCTAATAAATGAATCCTTCTTTTGCTTAGATTCCAAAAATTCCGCATATATATTATTATACATAGTCGTGTTTAGTCGAGTCAATTACGTTTACCGCGATTTCCTTCAGCCTTTACGATTAATAGCGATAGCTCTAGCGATAAGTCTCACTTATACAGTATATCGATTGACATGGCACCGATAAGAGCGATAAGTGTTGTATCGATAACCTTTACGAGTAAAGCTGGCCGAATGCAGCTCTCTCCCTTCTTTTTTGGGAGCCACTTAACCTTCGCCGTTAAAACTTGGCCCGGATAGCCGTGGCTCCGGCTACCGGGAAAGCCGGAGAGGGTTTTTGGGACAAAACCATTTTTAAAAGGGGTCAGCGTATGCATTCCTGCGGGTAATTATGTTTTGGATTTCACAGAAAAAACACACAAACACACACAGACAACACACATTGTAGGCTGCTGCAGGTGGTGGTGGAAACGGCGATTGGGATTCCGGTTAGCAGCGGGCTTCCGGCCAATACGCCCCAACCAGAGGTGCCCCCCAAAAAGAAAAATTGGAGAACCAGGATCCAAAATCGCAGCCCACAGTCCACCGCCTGCGGCATCTAATGGATACTACAGCTGCGGGCAATAGAATATATGCAGTGCTCAATATTATTTGGAATTTATTTATTTATTTTTAATTTTTAAAAGAGAAAATTAATGCGAATAAAAATATTTTATTGTGATATTAACAAACTCAAGTCGAAATATTCCTTTTTTTATGAATAATAAAATTGTATTTAAGGTTTTGTTTTCAATTACAAATAAAATATTTAAAATATGAAATATATTATCCACCATAATGTGTTTATTTTGATATATTTAATCAGTTAATAATATAAATATTTTATTTTTATTATTAAACATAGAAACTACAAGAAATAAATTAATTTTTTAGTCTGATTTAATTATGAAATTCAGTTTTTTAATAAAATGTATTAATCTATAAAATTATATAAAATAATTAATATAAACATTTGATTTAGATTTTAGGGAAATTCATAATTTAATTTGAATTTAATTTTTGTTTTTTAATTTATGTATATTTAAAATTAAAAAAAAAATAATAATAAGAATGGATCTATTATTACCAAAAACTATTTCTTTTTCATTGGTAAAAATTCCAAATGTTTGGAATATTTAATTAATTATATTAATATTAATTAATTATAATTAAAAATAAAAATTATATAAAAATTGCACTGTTTCATATAAACTATAAAGCCAGCCGCAGCTGTAAATTCATATGCAGTAGAGCAGAGTTGGTGTAAGGAATAAAGAAATACTTAGCAAATGACAATCTAGACAATTTTAGCAAATTTGCTAACCCTAAACAAAAAAAATATTTAAGAAAACCAGAGAGAAAAAAATTACAACTATAAAAAATCCGTGGTTCATTTTCGACAAGTACTTCTTTATTTTTATACGAAGATGAAATTGTAGTCAAAGGATTTGGGCAGATTTTAGTTGGATTTTCAAAGGAAACGAAAGCAAACTTTAAATCTAGACAAGGAGAAATGCTAAAAATGGCAAAAGCTAAATGCTAACTTTAAAAATAAATATATATAAAGAGTGCGGGAAAGGGCTAGCGGAGTGCTTGAGTTGGCACTTTCACACAGCTGTTCGGAGAACAACCGGGTCCAAGCCAAACTAAGGATATATTTTCATGGATTTTGTAAACGAGTTGGAAAGAAGGAGGAGGAGAAGGAGGAGGAGGAGCAGGAGGATGAGTAGGAGGAGGAGGAAAAGGTGGACACACACACACAACACACACCCAAGCCACCAACAAGGACACACAGATAACACAAATTGGCGGCAATTACTGCATGATGTGTATATATATGAATATAAAAAAAGGACATAAACATACATAACATATAATATATATATATATGTATACATAGACATATAGACATATACATATATATACATATATTTTTTTCGAATCGTTTAAGTGCAACTTTTGAACAAAATATGGAGAAAATGAAACGCAAGTCTTATGAAAATTCTAGCAAGTAAGGCAACCGAAAAAAACAACAAAATAAAAACCATTGAGAAAATTGTAAAGGTCAAGATACAAGATAGAAGATAGAAGATACAAGCGAGAAGGAAAAAGCAGCGAGATGCAAACAGATATACCTAATAACAATGCCTAACTGTACGAGTAACTATACTATATATATAAATATAAACTAAATATATGGATAAAGACCCAATAAAGGATATATATGTACAAGTTAATTATTTATTTTAAAAAGGAATGTTCAAGTTAAGGGTTTTTGTCCTAAGAAGCCAAAGAAAGAGTATTTCTTCTGGTCCTTAAGACAAAGCTCTTGACTTGGACCTGCCTCGAGTCACATCCTTGTAAATAACACAAGTCCTTGACAAGTTTCACATTCTTCTAAGGTCTCTGAAGCTGCAACTTGGGACAGACATCGAAAGACACACACACACACACACACAGAGATACTCCCCAGATACATCAAATATATATATATATATATTTAATGATAAACTTATGCAAGTCTGAAAGTATTTCTATCGAAGAGTTCTAAACTGCTTAACTGTAAATTGTTCAATACTACCTATATATATATATATATATATATATAACCTATATGTATAGCTCTATAGCTTCGTGCTTCGGAATCCTACATCCTACAAACGGAATCCTATATCCACTAAGAAGCACTGTAAGATACAGCCCCCAAGATATGAATAATAATTCTTAATTTTTCTGTTCTTTTTTTTTTTGTTATTTTTTTTTTTAGTTTAGTCACTAAGCATAGACTTAGCGGTTAAAAAATGAAGCAACATGAATTACTAAGTACGATATGCACTGCAAGCACTGAGGAATTTGATTCAATTTTACTTAAGATTAACGAGAGGAGAAATTGAAATAGCATTTAGCAAAAAAATAAGAAAAATTATAAAAATGTAAAGGAAATCTCCAAAATACCATCGAATTAATCGATATAAATTACGAAAGAAAAAAACTACAAATTAAAATTACATTTTTCGAGACAGACTTCGGAAGAAAAACGAACTGGATTCGCTTGAGAGGCAATTTGTGACGGGAAAGTCGAGAACGTAGAGCATTCTGGATTGGCTATGCTGCATTCGTATTGTACACACACCGCACACACACACACACACACACACATACATAACACACCCACGGACTCGCAACTAATTAACCTTGTATAGTTGTACATTAGTCTGTAGCGCCATTTGCATTGATCTCTAAAAAATATATCCATAAAAGCAAAAAACCTATATTCTTTTTCAAAATGCAACAAAAATTTTAATAAAAAAAAATATATGCCTCCAGCTCGTCTGAGTTCTTTTTTGTCCCCAGCAACTGCGAATCATTGTAAAAAAAAATATATAAAAATATATATTTATAAATATAAATATTAATATATAAATATATATATTTATATATATACTTTTTTATAAAAATACATGTAAAAAAAGAGATCCCATTCTAAGCTAGCTAATCCTTAATATTTGACAACCGATCATCATCCACAAAATTGCTTATAATGTACATTTTCTGACTTATGAGAAAATAAATATATTTTTTTTTTGGTATTTCAAACTCAAATTTTATTGTGTGTTTTTTTCTGGGGTTGGGTTGTGGGAGGCCAACGCATACTTTTGGGCTCAAGACTTTGTAGTGCGTGAATCATGGTTTCTTGGGGAACAATCTTTATGAAGATTATTTACTTTCAGCTATCAACAAACGTCATAAAACGGAAATTGCCATAAGTCATGGCAAAGGTGAGAGAGTAAACAATTTATATATATATGTCTCTGAACTTGAACTTGATTAGTATTGTTAATATTTAAAAATCTGTAGCTCAGCCAAAAATGCTTTAAATTTAATGTGGAAAGCGGTTTTGTGTTAGTTTTTCAAAAGTAAATAAATCTGCTTACTTAATTTAAATTTAATATTTATCCATAATTTTATAAAATAATTTTTTGAAAAATGAAAGTCAAAATATCAAAAATCCATATCTTAAAAAATTCCATAACCAAGCCAAAAATGAACTAAAATCAATTCTGAAAACATAGTTATGTTAGTTTTGATGAGGTTAACAAATCTGCATACCACATTTAAAACTTTAATTTTTTCCAAAATTTGAAAATTTTAATGATGTAACCCCTTACATTTTTTTGAGAAAATGGCGAATTTTTATTTTTTATAAAAAATCGAATTTTTAAAAATCCATAAAAAAGCCAAAAATGCAGTAAATTCAATTCGGAAAACGCTGTTGTGTTAGTTATTTTACGCTTAATAAATCTGCATACTTAATTTAATTTTAATAATTATTTATAATTTTTTATCATCATTTTTTGCAAAGTAAAGAGGCAAAATATCAAAAATCCATATGTTAAAAATTCCATAACCAAGCCAAAAATGTACCAAAATCAATTCTGAAAACGTAGTTATGTTAGTTTTGATGAGGTTAACAAATCTGCATACCACATTTAAAATTTTATTTTTTTCCAAAATTTGCAAATTTTAATGATGTAACCCCTTATCAAATTTTGAAAAAATTAAAAAAAAAAAAAATTTTCTTTCGGAGAAGGCTAGAAAGAAGCGCCTGTTTGTGCTGATCAAGAATATATATGATTTGTAGGGTCGCAAATGACTCCTTCTATATATATTTTTTAAATTTCAATCTATCTAAAATAATTTTCCCAGCCAAGTTACCTAGTTTACTACAAATATTTTATCTATAATTTTTAAAAACATTTCAAGGTATCTAGACCAGCTTTTCTAGGCTTTCTTTTACCAAAAGAAAAATCGTATAGCTTGTCCCACTGTGGCCAGAAAGCCCCGGCTATCACAGAGAGCATCGAACGTGAGCGTTGAGCGGAGAGCGTTTAGAAAGCGGCATCAACCGGCGATTGCAATTGCGATTGTGAAGCGGTGAGCGGCGACCTGGTGGAGAGCGTTGCCCGGGGAGCGTGGAGCATGGAGCATGGAGCTCGTAGCTCGCAGCTCGAAGGTAACAAGCAAAAGCCAAGAGTCCGAGTCAGTAAGCGGCGCAGACTCGTCGAGTTCGGTTCGTCAACAAAAAAATAAAACTAAAAAGAGAGGCGCGCGTGCGGCTTAAACGATCTTACCACTTCGAGTCTCTTTTTTTTTTTTTTTTTTAAAATTTTGTTATTAAAAAAAAGCACCTCTAGCCTCATCTGCCGCTTTTGCTGGCCAGTGTAACACTTGTCGCACGTAATCGTGCTGGCAGTTACGCCTCAGAAAGCAGCCAGCAGATACAAGATACAAAAGTATCTGAGGCACTCATTTCCATGCGTTACGCTCAGCTGCATTGCCGTGTGTGAGTTTCTGCTGTGTGTGTGTTTGTGTGTGTCCAGCTTAGCTAACAAATTGGTTAGATAAATTAAGCAAAAACTGTGAAATTCGCAAAAAAAAAAAATATTTGAAAAATAATAGAGAAAGAAAAACAAAAATTATACGAAAAGCCAACGAACAAACAAAGAAAAAGGCAGCAATCGAAATTGAAAGTAAAAAAAAAGAGTAAACAGTGCGGCAAAAGGAGAAGTAAATGCATGATTTTTAAATACAAATAATTAATAATAATAATTATTAAAGCAAAAAATAAAATATAACAATTGTCCGTCCCAGTTTTTTTTTTTTTTGCATGTAAAATAAATATAAGAAATAAGAAATGAGAAA